GGGGCTCCATCCCGGGACCCTGGGATCATGACCTGAGCCAAAGGCAGATGCTTAATGACTGAGCCACCCAGGCACCCCTAAAGAGTCATCTCTCTCTGAGAGCTCTTCTAGACACTGTAAGATGTTGCTATATAGATAAACATGAGATTATTTTTGCTAATAATGATGGTGATAACTTGTAGATGATGATGATGATGGTGGTGATTATAGTAATGATGATAATATGGACAGAAGTTGAATTAATATGTACTAGGAACAAACATCCAAATATTCATATATCTTACCCAAATTTGCCTTGCCAAAAAAAATTGTCACCAAATAAAATAACTACAAACAGAAAACTATATGTGTTGTCATCAAGATCTGTGATGGAAAATATTTTTGGCTAAGTAGCTTAATGTAGGTGAATTAAAAACACCCATTATATTTTTGAAATAATTATTTATTATTTTATAACCAAGAGAAACATAAAAAAAATAATTTTGCCTGGCTTTGTATGAACTCTTATTTTCATTTTCCCCTTTTATATATATGAATGGGAGAGATATTTTTGTATTCTTGTTTTTCTAAGGAAGATATGTCATCTTCACAATGAAGATTTTGGATTCATCTCTGGAGTAAATAAACAGTCATAATCAAACAATGAATTTGATCTGAGATCGGTGGGACCGTCACAACATGGGTATGTGTTCTCCACATAAATGTGCAGTTTGGCCTGTATATAATTTTAAGATACCCAGAATTTGATAGTAACATACAAGGCATAAGAAAACAAATTACTCTGATTCACTTATGTTCATTTCATGTTATATTTTAAATGGAGTTTTCGAAAACTTGAGAACCTTTTTCTTCCTTTGTTTCATTAACTACCTAAAGTAAAATCTTTCACAATTTGAGGTAGCCTGAAATAGTGACAGCATAAGGATTTGGAGTTACAAAAATTTTAGTCAAACTTTTACTAGTCTCTAGTTTTGAGATCTGGGACAATCCACAGCTTCTATGCACTTGAGTTTCCTTTCTCTATCAAATAGAGATATAAAACATGCTATATTTACATTAATAGATTTCTATTTCTAGCATTATATTAAATACAAATATGACTTTGGCCACCTATGACATTCAATTTCTTCATCCATAAAATAATACCTACTCTCTTCACATGTTTGATAATTAAGTTACATATGGTATGTACAAACAATGCTTTAGTTTACTTTTAGGTATAAAAGATAATTAGTATTAACATTTCATTATAAAAAGTTTTTACGTATTCAGTAATGATTACTATTTCATGAAGAGAGCAAAGTGGTTTTTTACTTGTTTTGTTCAAAGGCAAGATTATTTGTATTTATTATAAAATTTTACACCTTATTATTTGTATGTCCTTCACTAAAAAAAAGAAAGGCATTTACTGTTTACTACATGATTAACATTATTGATTCTAAAGGAATATTATTTAATTTCACTTTTTAAAGTACTCCTCACAGTTTGTGTTGATATCCTTTGTTCTTTTCTTTCCCTTTTTCCTTTGTTTCCTCTTTACTTTTCCTTTTTGTTCTTTTTTCTTTTTTCTTTTTTTTGTAATTCATGAAGTTATTAACTTAGCAAATGTGGCTCTATGAATTAAACACATGTCTAACTCCCTAGGCCCCTGTCTTTTTTATTATACACTGTCTTTATTTTAATGTTAGATTTTATTGCACACTAAGAATTAACTTATTTTATGGTACATAAGATCTTGCTAAAGATATTTTGCCATAGAGGGGTGCCTGGGTGGCTCAGTCGGTTAAACATCTGCCCTCAGCTCAGGTCATGATCCCAGGGTCCTGGGATGGAGCCCCAGCTTGTACTCTCTCTTTCTCCCTGTCAAAATAAATAAAATCTTAAGAAAAAAAAGATATTTTTGCCATAGAATAAAAATAATTTTATACGAAGTGCAAAAATCATAGTAATGAAGTAATATAAAACAAAAGTAACTTGATGTTATACTTTAAAAAGGATATGAATAGTATGGCAAGTTAAATTATAAAAATTATGATCCAAGGGGCTGAAAGGCTATGACTTCTGTTGGCCTGAATTGTTTTCCTCTAGAGATGAATGAAGTCCATAATTATAACTCTGAACTGGTAAAGCATGGTACTGCTCCACAATGGCAAAAGAGAAAGTCTACATTAATCACAAGGAAACGTGGAGAAAACCGTAAGTTCAATATTCCATTTGTCTTCTCTCAGTAAACTGAGGTGAATCTTGGAATCTATATGATTAGATCAGTGATTAGCATTCAGTTTCTTTTACCTTAATGAGAAAAGCAGAAATGAAATTAACTCTAGTATAATATTGGAATATATAATACAATTAGCAGAAATTGTTCAGTTTAGGATTTTTTCATGCCCTACAAATGATGAGATCATCATTAACATAATAATGGCAACTGAAACAGCAGTTTCTTGATATTTTTTTCAAGTTTTTATTTAAATTCCAGTTAGTTAACATATGGTGTAATATTAGTTTCAGGTTTAGAATTTAGTGATTCAATACTTACAGACAACACCCCGTACTCATCACAACAAGTGCTCGCTTTAATCCCCATCACCTATCTCACCCACCCCCACCCACCTCCCCTCTGGTAACCATCAGTTTTTTCTCTATAGGTAAGAGTCTGTTTCTTGGTTTGCCTTTTTTCCCCCTATGTTCATTTGTTTTGTTTCTTAAATTCCACATATGAGTGAAATCATATCGTATTTGTCTTCCTCTGACTGACTGATTTCATTTGGCATAAAACTCTCTAGCCCACCCACATCATTGCAAATGGCAAGATTTCATTCTTTATGATGGCTGAGTAAGATTCCACTATACACACACACACACATGCACACGCACGCACACACATACACACACACACACACACTTCTTTATCCATTTATCAGTCAATGGACAGTTGTGATCTTTCCATAATTTGGCTATTGTTGATAATGCTGCCATAAACATCAGGGTGCATCTATCCCTTTGAATTAGTTATTTTTGTATCCTTTGGGTAAATACCTGGTAGTACAACTGTTGGATTGTAGGATAGTTCTATTTTTTACTTTTTGAGGAACGGCCATACTTTTTTCTACAGTAGCTGCACCAGTTTGCATTCCTACCAACAATGCATGAGGGTTCCCTTTTGTCCAATTCCTCACAAACATCTCTTGTTTCCTGTGTTGTTCATTTTAGCCATTTTGACTGGTGTCAGGTTATTTCTAATCATAGTTTGATTTGTATTTCCCTGACCATGAGTGATGTTGGGCATCTTTTCATGTGTCTGTTGACCACCTGGATGTCTTCTTTGGAAAATGTCTATTCATGCCTTCTGCCCATTTTAACTGGGTTATTTGTTTTTTGGGTGTTGAGTTTTATAAGTTCTTCATATATTTTGGATACTAACCCTTTATCAGATATGTCATTTGCAAATATCTTTTCCCATTCTGTAGGTTGCCTTTTAGTTTTGTTGAGTGTTTCCCTCACTGTGAAGAAGCTTTTTATTTTGATAAGTTCCAATAGTTTATTTATGCTTTTGTTTCCCTTGCCTCAGGAGACATACTAGTAAGAAGTTGCTACAGCCAATGTCAAAAGAGTTTACTGCCTTTGTTCTCCTCTAGGATTTTCATGGTTTCCTGTCTCACATTTAGGTCTTTCATCAATTTTGAATTTATTTCTTTATATGGTGTAAAAAAGTGGTCCAGTTTCATTCTTCTGCGTGTTGCTCTCCAGTTTTCCCAACACCATTTATTGAAGAGACTGTCCTTTTTCCATTGGATACTCTTTCCTGCTTTGTCAAATATTGGTTAACCTTAGAGTTGTGGGTTGATTTCTGGATTTTCTATTCTATTCTATTGATCTATGTGTCTATTTTCGTGTCAGGACCATACTGTCTTGATCGCTACACCTTTGTAATATATCTTGAAGTCCGGAATTGTAATGCTTCCAGTTTTGCTTTTCTTTCTCAAGTTTGCTTTGGGTATTCACAGTCCTTCACGGTTCCATACAAAGTTTAGGATTGTTTATTCTAGCTCTGTGAAAAATGCTGTTGGTATCTTGCTAGAAATTGCATTGGATGTGAGACAGCAGTTTCTAAGAGAGCACTGAACAACTAACTTTAAGGAGAAATAAATAGAAATGGAAACAAAAAATAGAGGAAATACAAAATATCTTTCAGAGTTCTGTTCTTAAAAGGTGTGGAAGCAACAATTTGATTGCCATTCACAGAAATGTTTCAGAATGCACTGATGAAGATAAGCTGTCTTTTATCAAGCCAGAATATCATTGAAAATAGAGCCTGAAATAGCTTACACAGAAAGGAAAACAGCAGACTTCTCACCTATGAATTTTCATTAAATGTTAAAAAATAAATGATTATCAAATAGCACCACCTTATGAGTTGATTATAGGAATGGAAATGGGCCATATGTAATCATCAAAGGGGAAAGATTGCATGATCATATGCATAATGTTAAAAAGGTTTTGGATAAAAATCGCTGTGAATTCTTAAAAAGGACTTAATTTTTAAAATCTCTAAAATTAAATACTGTTTTTCAAATATATATATTTATATTCAGAAGCTATCATTATGCTTATTGATAAATGTTAGTAGCATTTTCATTATAGTTAGAAAAGGCAAGGATTTTTGCTATCATTGCTGTTGAGTAATATTAATTGTTCTGTTGGTGATAGCCAACATGAATAACCAAGAAAAAGAAAAAAGCAAATGATATGAAATTACAATAAAAAGGCAAAATTAATATTATTTGCAAAAATTTGTAATTTAAAATACTTTAAAAAGCCCTCAAAAGCTTCACCCAAAAATATGACAAACAATAAGGAAATCTGATATGAGGACTTGATTGAAAATAAGATATAAAAATCAATTGGTTTACTAACTACAAAAACGAGAAAAATGTTATGAAACAAAAATGTCATATATATAACACCAAAATTTTTTTGAAAAGACAGAAATAAACTTTTTAATTAAAAACCCTAGAAGTAAACCTATTAATTTAAAGTTGTGTTGATGAACATAAAATAAGACATGCCTAATGGGAAAAGACATTTTAAAGAAGTAAATTATCTCCATATATTTATGCATTTAATGTGATGCTATTGAAAGATAAATTACCATATTTTAAACGTACAGGTTCTTGAAAATCTTAAAGTTCTTTTTTTCTTAAGTTCTTAAGGTACATATAAAGTGTAATGATAGCCAAATTATTCTGAAAAAGAAATGTAATATACAATTGTGGATACTGTGAAAAACTCAAGCATATTATAAAACTAAGGGAATTTTACATATAGTTTGAATGGAAAACACATAAAGAATATAGGAATAAATGAAAATACAAATATGAATGTATTACATGCTAAAGGTGGTATTTCATATCAATGAGAACACATTGACTTATTCAATAAATGATGTTAGAAAAATCCAGTGCCCATTTGGGAAAGAAAATTATAAATTTAAGTTCCTACCTTATTTATTACACACACACACACACACACACACACACACAAATACCAAACAGGTCAAATAAAAAAGGAAACCATATAACATGATGACACATGAGTGTAATATACTTTATAAACTCAGAATAATGAAGACATTTTATTCATATCCAAAAAAAAAAAACAGCCATAAAGGAAAATTTGGTCAAGTCAACCATTATGCATTTCAGCACCCCCACAATTTCATAATGTTAAAACAAAAATATCTGAGATGTGTGTTTGCAAAACATATGGTAAGAAATGAACTAATATCCTTAACCCAAAAAGTAAACAAGGAACCAGCTACTCAATACAAACAAGAGAAGTCTCAGAGAAATAAAATAAAAACATTATTTAACCATAGTAAATGCCAATCTTATTCATAACAGAAAAAATAAAATTTAAATTAAAAATATTGCTTATAAGATTTATACATTTTAAAATGTGAATAATATTTAATGCAGAGAAGATGTGAGCAAACAGGCTTTTAAATTTATTTTTGATGCTAAACAAATTGGTATTTCTTCTTTGGACTGAAAATGTCAATCATTACAAAAATTTTAAATGAAAATGCCCTTTGACTCAGCAATTACTCTCTCAGGGATTTTTCTTGGAGAGGAACTCAAAAATATACACAGGTATATATAAAATGTTATTCATATTGTTATATCTAATAGCAAAACTAAGAAATGATTTAAATACACATTGGAAAAAATTAAATGTCTGTCAATAGATTTTGTCCATATACCAATGAAAGGAATGAAAACAGCTATATATAAAATTTCGACTTTATAAGATATGATATAGAATAATCACTAAGATATTTTTGTAAGCAAAAAAAAAAAAAAATCACAGAATATTTTCCGTACTTTCTTCAACATGTTTTTAAAAAGGGATTGAAGGGAACTGTCTGTGTTTGTTATTGTATCTACATTAAAAAAATTAAAAATTATAACCATGATTTACTCTAAAGAGGGAACTGGAGAATTTTTAGAGAGAAACAGGAGGGAATGTGCATTTCTATTGGTTTTTTTTTAATCACTTACAAAGTACTTATTTTACTTGTTCTGAGAAAAACAATTAAGGCAAAAGTACTGATATCACTCCTCCCATAAAAAACACTCATAACATTTATATCAAACATGAACATACCAAAACTTTTTAATACTTATTTTCTATTCTTTCTCACTCTTTTTTTTTTTTTTGGACAGCATCTCCATTTTTCGTAGCCCGTGCCATTGCTGTAGCTATGGGGATCCATTTCATTATAATGGTAATGATATGCGGTGCCATAATCGTACATTGTAAGTGATAGTAGAGAAGTAGATAGAGCATTCTCGATCTAATGATTGCAATGCATTACTTTGATTAGTATTCAGAAGCACAGAGACATAAACTAACAATATTGTATGTGTCTTTATGTTTTTGCTGTTAGTGTAAAAATGTGTCTACTTTTGCTAGGACTATGTTACTAATAACATTTTAATGATTTTGATTTTTTTATTATTGAACTGTGTTTTATATTAGTTTTATGTTAGTTTTAGTTGTACAACATAGTGATTTGACAATTCTATACATTACTCCATGCTCACAGTGATGAGTGTAATCACCATCTGTCACTATACAATGTTATTACAATATTATTGACTATATCCCCTATGCTGTACTTTTCATCTTCATGACTTATTTTATAACTGAAAGTTGGTACCTCTTAATCCTCTTAATGATTATTTTAATAGCATTATTCAACCAAGAAGCTCCAATTTCTTTGCAAGGTAAGTGAAAGTTTTTTTAACATTTTGAAGCACAAATTACATGAATCTCTATATAATTGAGTATAGGCATGTATCCAATGTTGTTAACAAGAGAATGTATAAGAAAATTATTAATTTTTTTCCATGATCCACAACATTCCAAAATTTTTTATTTGTTAACAACGAAAGAGTGCTTCTAAAAAGAAGAAGATACTTAGTTTTGGCATCTGTCTCTCTCTCTCTATATATATATATAAATGTGTAAAGATATGTCTTTGGAGATGATCAGATTGGTTTATCTGGAATGTTAAAGTTACAATAAAAGAGTATTTAACCTGTCTAGAGAAAATCTGCTATAATGTTCAGACTTGTACAGAATTAAGAATATATTCTCTCTTTCAGAATGTTATTGTGGCCCATGTCCTAAAAACTGGATATGCTATAGAAATAACTGCTACCAATTTTTTAATGAGAGCAAAAGCTGGTACCAGAGCCAAGCTTCTTGTATGTCTCAAAATTCCAGTCTCCTGAAGATATACAGCAGAGAGGATCAGGTTGAGTATTTGTTTTAATTTCCCTTCTTATATTCATTCCTAACATGTGAGGCAAATCACTGGAATATAAACCTGAAACATAAGAGAGGCACTAAGACTGAGATATATCCACCCTAAATCTTTCTGCATCAAAAATAAGAAAGCACTGGGCACCTAGGTGGCTCAGTCGGTTAAGCATCTGCCTTCAGGTCAGGTCCTGATCCCAGAGTCTTGGGATGGAGCCCTGCATCAGGCCCCTTGCTCAGTAGAGAGCCTGCTTCTCCCTCTCCCTCTGCCCCTCCCCCCCCACTTGTGTGCTCTCTCTCTCTCTCCCTTGCTCTCTCTCTCAAATAGATAAATAAAACCTTTTTAAAAATATTAAAATTCAAAATTTAAAAAAAATAAATAAAAATAAGAAAGCACAGAAATTGTAGGTATTATGTACAGTGTTTAAGTCAGAATTAGGCTAGAGGACAGAATGCATTTCCCTAAGTGTGGGAAAAAAAATGATTGAATGATTATGGCCTTGTATTAACTAAAATTCTAAGCACTGATTTTATTTGTGGTCTCAAACAGGATTTCTTTAAATTGGTGAAGTCATATCATTGGATGGGACTAATACAAATTCCAGCAAATGGATCTTGGCAGTGGGAAGATGGCACCATTCTCTTGCCCAGCCAGTAAGTCTGTAGCAATAGGTGTCTATTTGTGGATTTGTCTCTAAGCTGTCCCTATGGTCATTCAAGATCACATTATTTCACACAATGCCAGGATGTTCCCATATTCTAATAGATTCAGAAAAAAACTCTGAGGACCTAAATTTAGGAGATTATGGAGCACAGCAGCCAATACCAATAATAATGAGTTACATTAATTGTTTGCTATGTGCTAAGTACTGCTTAGCAGTACATAATACTATGGCCATTTTACAGATAAGGAGACTAGAGCAGAGAGGTTAAATATCAAAAACATATTCTTTCTTGAGGTTATTAACTGAATTGTTGAGATATAATTACATTCAATAAACTACACATATTTAAAGTGTACAATTTGATAAATTTTGAAAAATGTATACATCCACAAAACCATTAATAACATCAAAATAATTAACATATTTATCACCTGCAAAACTTTCCCTTTGCACCCTTGTAATATCTGCTTCTTATCCCTTTCTGCCCACCTCTTTCTGTCCCCAGGCAACTAACCTGCTTTCTGTCACTATAGATTAATTTGCAATTTATAGAATTTAATATAAATGGATTTCTGCCATATGTACTATTCTTATGTCTGGCTTTTTACTCAGTATAATTATTTTGAGATTCAGGCACCTCAAGGCATGTATAAAAAATTAATTTCTTTTTATTCCTGAGAGGGATTCCATTTATGAGTGTAGCTCAATTTGATTATCCTTTCATCTGCTGATGGATAGATAGGTGGGTAATTTCCAGTTGTTGACTATTAACAATAAAGCTACTTGCAATGAAGAGTTGTGTACAAGTCTTTGTATGAACATAGGCTTTCTTTTCTCTTACATTAATACCTAGGAGTGGAATGGTTGGGTAATATAATAGGAATGTGTTTTACTTTTTAAGAAACTGCCAAACTATTTTCCAAAGTAACTGTGCCATTTTACATTCCCACTAGCAGTGTGTGAGAGTTCTAGTTGCTCTACATCCTGGTCTACACTTGTTACAGTCAGTCCCCTACATTTTAGCTATTCTAATAGGTGTGCAGTGGTATCTCATTGTGGTTTTAATTGCATTTCACTAATGACTAATGATAATGAACATCACTTTGGTGCTTATTTACCACTTATTTTTCAATTTTCTATTTCATTAATTTCTGCGCCCTACTTCCACTGTATTTCTTTCAGTATTCATTCACACAGGTTCCTCATTCAACCTTCAGCTGTATTAAAGGAGTCCCATTTACCTATCCCCTGAAGAAAAGAGAAAGAAAATCACCATAGTTTTTTGTAGTGAAAAATGATCTATTAATTTGAATTTTTTTTCCTAATAGAAGCATTCGGGCTACTAATATGTGAGATAATATAGCAACATCCTTACATGTTTTGAGATACTGTGTTTTCATTTTCATTCCGTTCAATATACCTTCTAAATTCCCTTTTGTATTCGTCTTTGATCCATGGATTATTCAGAAGTGTGCTATTTAGTTTCCAACATTAGGAATTTTCCAGAGATTTTTCTTTTATTAAGTTCTAATTTAGTCCCGTCTTGGTCAAGAGCATACATAGTTTGTATGACTTGGATCCACTTAAATTTATTGAGATTAGTTTTATGGACCAGACTATGGTCTATTTTCTGAAATGTTCTATGTGCACTTGAACAGAATGTGTATTACATTATTCTTGGGTAGAGTATACTATAATTTCAATTAGGTCAAGTTAGTTGGGAGTATTGCTCCAGTCTTCTATATCTTTTCTGATTTTCTGTCTACTTATTCTATTAATTACTGACATATATTGAAATCTTAGACTATAATTATGGAATTATGTATTCTACTTGCATTTCAAACAATTTTTCCAGATTATTCTGAAGTTCTATTGATAAATGTTTGGATTGTTATGTACTCTTGATGAATTTATGACTCTAATCATTATGTAATGAGCTCTTTTTCCATAATGCCATTTTGTGCTATGAAATCCTCCTTTGTCTATCATAAATATAGCCCTGCCAGGTTCTCTTTGATTAGTGTTAATGTGGTATTTATTTTGCATTCTTTTTTTAACCTATGTGTACATTTATATTAAAAGTAAACTTTTATAGACAGAACACTTATAGACAGAATACAGTTGGAGTCACTTTTTTCTTTTTTTTTCTTTTTTGTTAACATATAATGTATTATTTGTTTCAGGGTTACAGGTCTGTGATTCATCAGTCTTACACACCACATCTTCTTTATCCATTCATCTGTTGATGGACATCTTAGGCTCTTTTCATAGTTTGGCTATTGTAGACATTGCTGTTATAAACACTGGAGTACAGGTACCCCTCAGTATCACTACATTTGTATCTTTGGGGTAAATACCCAGTAGTGCAATTGCTGGGTCATAGGGTAGCTCTATTTTTAACTTTTTGAGGAACCTCCATACTGTTTTCCAGAGTGGTTGCACCAGCTTGCATTCCCAACAACAGTGTAAGAGGGTTCCCCCTTCTCTGCATCCTCGCCAACATCTGTCGTTTCCTGACTTGTTAATTTTAGCCGTTCTGACTGGTGTGAGGTGGTATCTCATTGAGGTTTTGATTTGGAGTTCCCTGATGCCGAGCGATGTTGAGCACTTTTTCATGTGTCTGTTGGCCATTTGGATGTCTTCTTTGGAAAAATGTCTGTTCATGTCTTCTGCCCATTTCTTGATTGGATCATTTGTTCTTTGGGTGTTGAGTTTGATAAGTTCTTTATAGATTTTGGATACTAGCCCTTTATCTGATATGTCATTTGCAAATATCTTCTCCCATTCTGTCGGTTGTCTTTTGGTTTTGTGGACTGTTTTCTTTGCTGTGCAAAAGCTTTTTATCTTGATGAAGTCCCAAGAGTTCATTTTTGCCCTTGCTTCCCTTGCCTTTGGCGATGTTTCTAGGAAGAAGTTGCTGTGGCTGAGGTCTAAGAAGTTGCTGCCTGTGTTCTCCTCAAGAATTTTGATGGACTCCTGTTTCACACTTATGTCTTTCAACCATTTTGAGTCTATTTTTGTGTGTGGTGTAAGGAAATGGTCCAGTTTCATTCTTCTGCATGTGGCTGTCCAATTTTCCCAACACCATTTGTTGAAGAGACTGTCTTTTTTCCATTGGACATTCTTTCTTGCTTTGTCGAAGATTAGTTAACCATAGAGTTGAGGGTCTATTTCTGGGCTCTCGATTCTGTTCCATTGATCTATGTGTCTGTTTTTGTGCCAGTACCATACTATCTTGATGATGACAGCTTTGTAATAGAGCTTGAAGTCCAGAATTGTGATGCCGCCAGCTTTGCTTTTCTTTTTCAACATTCCTTTGGCTATTCGGGGTCTTTTCTGGTTCCATAGAAATTTTAGGATTATTTGTTCCATTTCTTTGAAAAAAGTGGATGGTATTTTGATAGGGATTGCATTAAATGTGTAGATTGCTCTAGGTAGCATTGACATTTTCACAATATTTGTTCTTCAATCCATGAGCACGGAACATTTTTCCATTTCTTTGTGCCTTCCTCAATTTCTTTCATAAGTGTTCTCTAGTTTTCAGAGTACAGAAACTTTATCTCTTCAGTTAGGCTTATTCCTAGATATCTTATGGCTTTTGGTGCAATTGTAAATGGGATCAACTCCTTAATTTCTCTTTCTTCTGTCTTATTGGTGTATAGAAATGCAACTGATTTCTGTACATTGATTTTATATCCCGCCACTTTACTGTTTTCCTGTATGAGTTCTAGCAGTTTTGGTGGAGTCTTTTGGGTTTTCCACATAAAGTATCATATCATCTGCAAACAGTGAGAGTTTGACTTCTTCTTTCCTGATTCGGATGCCTTTTATTTCTTTTTGTTGTCTGATTGCTGTGGCTAGGACTTCTTGTACCATGTTGAATAGCAGTGGTGATATTGGACATCCTTGCCATGTTCCTGACCTTAGGGAAAAGGCTCTCAGTTTTTCCCCATTAAGAATGATATTTGCTGTGGGTTTTTCTTACATGGCTTTTATGATATTGAGGTATGTACCTTCTATCCCTACACTGTGAAGAGTTTTAATCAAGAAAGGATGCTGTACTTTGTCAAATGCTTTTTCTGCATCTATTGAGAGGATCATATGGTTCTTGTTCTTCTTTTATTAATGTATTGTATCACATTGATTGATTTGAGGATGTTGAACCAGCCTTGCAGCCCAGGAATAAATCCCACTTGGTTTATAACTGGATTTGAGAAATTTGGTTGTAATATGCCTTGGATTACTTTTTTTTTTCTTGTGTTTGTGTTTTGTTGAGACTCTTGGATCTGAGTTTATAATTTTCAAACAAAATTAGAAAATTTACTACCATCATTTCTTCAAATGTCCCCCCCCATTTCTCTTTCCTCTCCCTCAGATACACTACAATCACAAATCCATTAAGCAAATTAAAATTGGGATGAAGTTAACAGGTGCTTTTCCTTATATATAACTGTAAAAGTTTTTAATTCTTTATTTCAAGTATATTTTACTTATTTGAACCTCTAATTCTGTAGTACATAATAAAAACATCACAACAACATTAATGTTAATATCAGTTTAATTAGCTGCTTTCTTTCTGTCAGACATAGTTTTAAGCACTTTATATATATCTTCTCATTGAGGACTCTTAAAAACCTCTATAACAGGGGTCATTTCTAACCTAATTTTGCTGGTTAGGAACAGAGTCTTAGAGTGTAGAATAATTCACCTAAGATATAAAATGAGTAACAATTCTGGTAGATATTCAACTATGTGTCTTTCTTACTCTACAGCCAGAATTATCATTAAATGACTTTAAAAAATCTCTTCTCAAGGCACCTGGGTGGCTCAGTTGGTTAGGCATCCCACTCTTGGTTTCAGCTCAGGTCATGATCTCATGGGTCTTGGATTGAGCCCTGCCTTGGGCTCCATGCTCAGAGGGGAGTCTGCTTGAAAATTCACTCCCTCTGGTCCTCCCCACTCCCTCTCTCTCTCTCTAAAATAAATCAATCTTTAAAAAAAAAAATCTCTTCTCATTGATTTTGAAGTTTACTTTGCTTCTCTAATGGTTAGTTGGCAGTAATGAATGCATAACCTTCTGTTTCTTTCATATCTCCCCTTATATTCATTATAACAGGTTACCGTCCTACCTCATTATATATTTGGAATTTGAAGGCCCCAGTGTACCTTAGAATTGATCTTGGATGACTTCATTTCTGTATGGCTTGAGATTTTATTTTTGACAAAAAAAGTTTATTCTCTAGAAATACTAATAAAATTTGTATCACCTTATCTCAATATTTTCCACACTGCAAGTGTAAATGTTTGTTTTAGAAGCAAAAGCAAAATAACTGGCAAATTAAGTTTCAGTTTATGCATGTGATAAATATTTGTTGAGTGTTACTCAATTTCCAGGAACTATGCAGAGATAATGACAGAGATGAATAAGACACAACTTCAAGGGCTTCACACTTCAGTTAGAGATATGGTTATAAGCAAATAAGTACAATCCAGAATAATCAGCACTCTGGCAGACATGGAATATGAATGGTATAGGAAACACACACAGAAACTGAAGGAATACAAAAACAAAATGAGATTTAAAAATGAGATTCTAATGTGCATAGACTGAGACCAACTAAGAGCATTTAGTGGTTTCTATGGACTGAGTTTCTTCTCTTCTCCTTTTGAATACAAACTATTTTATTGTTCATATTCATGCTGATGCATCCTCACTCTTTCCTTGGCCTTTTATTTCCCACCTGTTCCTGGAAGAAAACAAATCACCAGGTTCCAAGGCAAATAGATACACAGATATAACTATCTCTACATGGAATGCCTACGCACACAAACACACATATATATTATATTTATATATACTTATATATATATATACACAGACATATTTAATATATAAGAGAATTTTACAATTTTTATTTCCTTACCAAGTAAAGTTGCATATATCCAAAGAAGATTGTTTATTTTTGCATAAAACATGACATCTGCTGACTTCTAAATTGAATTCTAAATTCATTTCTCATCTATTTGCTGAAAAAAAAAACATTTAAAAACTTTCATTTCACTCAGGTACATATATCAAGAGATTTCAGACTCCCTAAATTGACTAATTTCCAATGCAGAAAAAAATAATGGCATATAATTTATAATAGAATGAAACTTCTGCTTTTATAACTGAGTTAGCTATATTTTGCATATCTTTAACTAAGAAAGACCAGGCATGGTCCTAAAACCTTCTGAAATGATATTATTTCAATACCTATATTTATTTTATTGCATTTTTATATTTATGTATTAATAAAGTCACAAATATAATTTGTCCTTCTTTCTAATCTAGATTAACAATGGTTGAAATGGAGAATGGAACTTGTGCGGTTTATGGATCAAGTTTTAAAGGTTACACCGAAAACTGTTTAACTCCAAACACATACATCTGCATGCAGAGGATTGTGTAAAAGCTTATGATTTATAAAAATAAAAAGAATTCAAAAACACAGAAGCCATTCTTGAGACGCCAGGGTGGTTCAGTTGGTTAAGTGTCTGCTTTCAGCTCAGGTCATGATCGCAGGGTCCTAGGATGAGCCTGCTTCTCCCTTTTCCCTTCCCCCTGCTCATGCTCTCTCACTCTCTCACTCTTGCTCTATCTCAAATAAATAAAAATAAAATCTTAAAAAAAATAAGCCATTCTCTGAATGTTCTCTGTGAGAAAACTTCCTGAAGAAAATACTGCCAATAGTTATTGAATTATTTTTCCATCTATGACCTGACACAAAAATAACCTTGCAGGGGAATAAAGGCCAATAATTAAAGAACTTACCTTCTATAAGAAGGTTTTCTTTAATTTTTGTAAAATTTCTAGTAATGAACAGATTCATTTTTATATTTAATAAACTGTTGATGAAACCCAGGGTTAAACTAAACTTCGAACTACAATTTTATTAAATGTGCACAAATATTACACTAAGAAGGGTTTTAGAACTTTTCAAACTCAAAAATTTTGAAAATTAAATAAATCTAGGCTGGGTGAAAGGTATATGAGGGTTCATTACATTTGCTGTATTTAAAAGTTTTCAAAATAAAAGTTGAAATATCAACAAATATAACCTCAAAATTTCAAAATGCCACTACTATTTTAATGCAGTACGTGAGATGTTTGGCAGAAATTGAATTACTCCTCACAGTAAAAATATGGCACCAATTACTACAAAACACAGAAATATAAAGAATTGAGTTTGAAAAGGACTTTCCAGGCTTCAAGGGGAAAATGACATCTGAGTGGAAACGCAGAGTGACTAGAAGTTGTGTGGGGAAATCATAATGATAACAGTACTCTCGGCAAATGGGATACTACTTGCAAACGTGCAGAGGTTGGAAGAGTCTATGACTCTAAAGAAACCCAGTTTGTACTTATACGTCTGATTTTGCTTTATTATTACTATGTTATGTTAGTCACCATACATTACATCATTAGTTTTTGATGTGGTGTTCCATGTTTCATTGTTTGCATATAATGCCCAGTGCTCCATGGAGTACGTTCCCTCCTTAATACTCATCAGTGGACTAACCCATCCCCCCACCCACCTCCCCTCTAAAACCGTCAGTTTGTTTCTCAGAGTCCATAGACTTTCATGGTTCATCTCTGTTTCCGATTTCCCCCCTTCATTTTTCCCTTCCTTCTCCTAATGTCCTCCATGCTATTCCTTATGTTCCACAAATAAGTGAAACAATATGATAATTGACTTTCTTTGCCTGACTTATTTCACTTAGAATAATCTCCTCCAGTCCCATCCATGTTGATGCAAAAGTTGGGTATTCATCCTTTCTGATGGCTCAGTAATATTCCATTTTATATATGGACCACATCTTCTTTATCCATTAGTCTGTTGAAGAGCATCTCAGCTCATTCTGCAGTTTGGCTATTGTGGACATTGCTGCTATGAACATTGGGGTGCATATGGCCCTTCTTTTCACTACATCTGTGTCTTTGGAGTAAATTCCCAGTAGTGCAATTGCTGGGTCATAGGGTAGCTCTATTTTTAATTTTTTGAGGAACCTCCACACTGTTTTCCAAAGTGGCTGTGCCAACTTGCACTCCCACCAACAGTATAAGAGGGTTCCCCCTTCTCCACAACCTCTCCAACATTTGTTGTTTCTTGCCTTGTCAATTTCTGCCATTCTAACTGGTGTAAGGTGGTATCTCAATGTGGTTTTGATTTGAATTTCCCTGATGGCTAATGATGATGAACATTTTTTCATGTGTGCTGATTCTTTTTGTTTGTTTATTCATTTGTTTGTTTTAGATTTCAGGTATGAGTGAAATCATATGGTATTTGTCTTTCTCAGTCTTATTTCACTTAGCATAATACCCTCCAGGTCCATCCACGTCATCTCAAATGGCACAATCTCATCTTTTTTATGGCTGTGCAATATTCCATTGTGTATACATACCACCTTTTCCTTATCCATTCATCTATTGATGTACACTTAGGTTGCTTCTATACCTGAAATTAATTTAATATTGTCTATGCACTACACTCAAATTTAAAAAATGGCAAAACAAAACAATTACCAAAAAAAAAAAAAGCCAATTTGATCAGAGCAGAATGATAGAGAAGATGAGGAGCCTAAGAAGTGGAGGAGAGAGAAGCAGAGGTTAAATCATGTGGAGTTTTGTGTACCCCATTATAATTTTGGCTTTTATTCTAAGTGTAATTGCCATTTGTGTGTTTTGTGAGGGGCATGAAGAAGTGGGTTGGACAGCATTTGGGGGGAAAATTGGTATAAAATGCCATGGAGAAAACCATTTATTTTCTACATAGTCAATCAAGGGCTGAGGAATGTGTTAGTCCAAATTAGTTTTTAAATTCTTGTGTAAAGTTGCAATATGCACCACTCATAATTAACAAAATTTAATATTTAGTCACATTTGTTTTAAGATTTTAATATTAAATATTTAAATCATAAAAAGTGTGCAAAAAAGCACATATGTTTGCTTTGAAAAAAAAAGCAATATAAATTGGACTATGTTTCTGTTTCTAGAATTAAGGAAGGGAAAATAGTCTGCTATTAGGTCCCACGGAAAATAACAAAAAACATTTTATAATATTGTTGTATAATGCATACCAGTTTAGGGAAAACACTGCTAACCCAACAAGATGGTAAAAACTTTGCAGAATGTCACAATTCAGTGAAAATGGGATTCCCAAGAGAAAAGCAACCACAGAAACTGACATTCATTCTGAGGGTCTAAAATAAATTTGGGAACCTTAGTTTCTGTTTTGACTGTTGTCATGGAGCACTGGAAACCAGATAAAGCTTAGGGGCCACCTTACCCAAAGGGTTAGAAACAAGTTATCTTTCTAAAACTGGAATACTCCACAGCTACAATCTCATATAAAAAAATAACAAATAAAACATATATTTCAGGAAATAGTAACAGGGACCCTTTCTAGTGAAACAAAACAGAATACGTCACGACATAATTATTTTGAGCTCAAGAAAATTAAGAAGCAGCTTGAAATCACTGTCTTGAAGATACCTGCATCTTATGTTCATTGCATTTTAAAAAAA